GTGTGTGTGTGTGTGTGTGTGTGTGTGTGTGTGTGTGAGTGTGTGTGTATGTGTGTGAGTGTGTGTGGGGTGTGTGTGTGTAGGGGGATGTGAGTGTGTGTGTGAGTGTGTGTGGTGTGAAGGGGGTGTGAGTGTGTGTGTGAGTGTGTGTGTATGTGTGTGAGTGTGTGTGGGGTGTGTGTGTGAGTATATGTGTGTGGGGGGTGTGTGTGGGGTGTGTGGGTGTGTGGGGGGGTGTGGGTGTGGGTGTGTGTCTGTCTGTCTTGGTTTTTCTCTCTGGAAAATGTAAACTCATTTTCATTCCCAGAGTTATAAAATGTCATGATAATGTGCTTGGATGTCAGTTTATTTTCATTGCATTGTGGGTAATTTGTGGCCTCTTTGAATCTAAAGATCCAAGACCTTCACTTGTGAAATTATATATATATATCTTGACGATTTCCTCCTGTTCTCTATTTCTGAAACACCTGTTTGGATGTTGGATTTCTAACACTGCTCCTCTGTTTTTTTAAAATCTTTTTCTTCTACTTTTTTTTTTTTAACATATTTTTATTGATTTCAGAGAGAGGAAAGGAGGAGGAGAGAGAGAGAGAGAAACATCAATGATGAGTCATTGATTGGCTGCCTAGCCGGCAACCCGGGCATGTGCCCTGACCGGGAATCAAACCCCGGTCTCCTGGATCCTAGGTCGACGCTCAACCGCTGAGCCACACCCAGCCGGGCTCTTCTACTTTCTATCTCTCTCTTTGCTCTTCTTTTAGGGAAATTTCTTTAACTTTACCCTGATATATATATATATATGATATATATATGTGATATATATATATCTCCTCACTTGAGAATATTTATTGATTTTTAGTGAAAGAGAGAAAGAGAAACATCAAACTGATTGGTTGCCTCCAGTACATGCCCCAAAATAGATACGGTCACTTAGTCCGCCTCAATCCCTCCTCTCCGCCCCCACCCCCGCAGCGCCATCCCTGTGTGACAGTGCCTAATGGCCCCAGGACAGAGATCAGCTCCAGAGAGTAAAGGCCCAGCCCCAACAGCCGCTCCATCTCCAAGGTCCCTGAACACTGCTTCCTAATATCTCACAAATGGGGCCATTTCTCTCCATAGCTACCGCCCCCATCCAGTGCACACTGCCACTGTCTCTGACCTAGATCCTGACACAACCACTTAGGTCTTGCCCTCTCCTGTCCTTTCTGCACCCACGAAGGAGTGAGGTGGCTTTCATGTCACTTCCCTGCTTAAACCCCTCCATGATTTCTCATGCCTTCAAGGCATAGCTCTGCACTTCAGCTCGCACTCAAGGCCTCCACAATTTGGCTTTTTACCTCTGTAGCCTCTCTTAAGTAGCCCNTGTGTGTGGGGTGTGTGTGTGTGAGTGTGTGTGTATGTGTGTGAGTGTGTGTGTATGTGTGTGAGTGTGTGTGGGGTGTGTGTGTGTAGGGGGATGTGAGTGTGTGTGTGAGTGTGTGGGTGTGTGTGGTGTGTAGGGGGGTGTGAGTGTGTGTGTGTGTGTGTGTGTGTGTGAGTGTGTGTGTATGTGTGTGAGTGTGTGTGGGGTGTGTGTGTGTAGGGGGATGTGAGTGTGTGTGTGAGTGTGTGTGGTGTGAAGGGGGTGTGAGTGTGTGTGTGAGTGTGTGTGTATGTGTGTGAGTGTGTGTGGGGTGTGTGTGTGAGTATATGTGTGTGGGGGGTGTGTGTGGGGTGTGTGGGTGTGTGGGGGGGTGTGGGTGTGGGTGTGTGTCTGTCTGTCTTGGTTTTTCTCTCTGGAAAATGTAAACTCATTTTCATTCCCAGAGTTATAAAATGTCATGATAATGTGCTTGGATGTCAGTTTATTTTCATTGCATTGTGGGTAATTTGTGGCCTCTTTGAATCTAAAGATCCAAGACCTTCACTTGTGAAATTATATATATATATCTTGACGATTTCCTCCTGTTCTCTATTTCTGAAACACCTGTTTGGATGTTGGATTTCTAACACTGCTCCTCTGTTTTTTTAAAATCTTTTTCTTCTACTTTTTTTTTTTTAACATATTTTTATTGATTTCAGAGAGAGGAAAGGAGGAGGAGAGAGAGAGAGAGAAACATCAATGATGAGTCATTGATTGGCTGCCTAGCCGGCAACCCGGGCATGTGCCCTGACCGGGAATCAAACCCCGGTCTCCTGGATCCTAGGTCGACGCTCAACCGCTGAGCCACACCCAGCCGGGCTCTTCTACTTTCTATCTCTCTCTTTGCTCTTCTTTTAGGGAAATTTCTTTAACTTTACCCTGATATATATATATATATGATATATATATGTGATATATATATATCTCCTCACTTGAGAATATTTATTGATTTTTAGTGAAAGAGAGAAAGAGAAACATCAAACTGATTGGTTGCCTCCAGTACATGCCCCAAAATAGATACGGTCACTTAGTCCGCCTCAATCCCTCCTCTCCGCCCCCACCCCCGCAGCGCCATCCCTGTGTGACAGTGCCTAATGGCCCCAGGACAGAGATCAGCTCCAGAGAGTAAAGGCCCAGCCCCAACAGCCGCTCCATCTCCAAGGTCCCTGAACACTGCTTCCTAATATCTCACAAATGGGGCCATTTCTCTCCATAGCTACCGCCCCCATCCAGTGCACACTGCCACTGTCTCTGACCTAGATCCTGACACAACCACTTAGGTCTTGCCCTCTCCTGTCCTTTCTGCACCCACGAAGGAGTGAGGTGGCTTTCATGTCACTTCCCTGCTTAAACCCCTCCATGATTTCTCATGCCTTCAAGGCATAGCTCTGCACTTCAGCTCGCACTCAAGGCCTCCACAATTTGGCTTTTTACCTCTGTAGCCTCTCTTAAGTAGCCCCTTCCCCCCTCACCCCTCTGCACCTCTGTGGGGACACACACCTCTGTCACAGCTCTTGGTGCTTCACTTCACCTCTCTGTGTAAGATGCAGCCCAACTACCACCTCATTCTGATAGTCTTCCCAGGTCACAGCACCTGTCACCCATCTAAGATTGCCCGCTCTCCCTTAGGACCCTGAAGGGAAGGTCTGCACTTAACATATCGGCACTGAGTGCTGCTGAGCTTGAGCCCAGAACCTGGTACCCAAGAGGTGCTGAGCTGCACGGAGCCTTGGAGGTCATTACCACTTGCAACTCTGGAGAGCTCTGCTCTGGGAGCTGACTGCAGGGGGAGGGCCTTCTATTGAGCCCCTCAAGTCTGCCAGCGGGTCAGTGAGCTCAGGCTCTGTCAGCAGTGAGCATCTCCCCACTCTCGGACAGGAGGGCTGCCTCCTGGTACTCAGGAAGCTGAGCATGCCCCCCAACCACCCTGTTGGACTTCAGTGTGGGTGGCTTTTCCCAGAGAAGGGACTGCTTGGCCAGCTGCCTTCCCCTATAACTATTTGAAAGTCTATTTCCATAATGGCCATAATAGGGCCTGACTAGGGAGCAAGTGCCCTTCCTGTGGCCAGGTCCCTGGTGAAGAAAGCTGAGTGGTGACGGGGGAGGGACAGTGCTGCAGCGTCCATCAAGCCCTTGTCAGGAGCCAGGCACTGAACTTCTCTGCCCACTTGGAGGAGGGTATCACAATGGAGAATGGAAGCTCTCTAAGTGTCTTGTCCAAGGTCACACAACCAGAAAGTGTGAAGTTCAAACCCAGGACTCTTCAGGCCCAGCGGCACCATGCTGCCTGCGGGGCACTGGGAGAAAGTTAGAGTCCTTCCTGCCTCTGTGGGTGATTCTGCTGTGTGACTCTGGGGGCCTCCTCAGCCTCTGTATTGGCCCTGGGGAAGCTTCCTGACAGGTGCCCTTGGGGGCTTGGGGAGCTCTTGCTCTGGAGCCCTTCTTAGGCCAGTGGGCTTTGGAGTCCATGGCACTGGGCAGAGCGGGCAGCAGGGCTGGAGCCCCAGCACTGGCACTCCTCGTGACCTCTCGGAAGGGTTGTGGGGTGCCTGGGCATGGCTCAGCAGCCCTCTCCTCTGGTTTGATTTTTCCAGTAACTGGTGCCCCTACCAGAAGTCCAGGCTGGTCACCTTTGTAGCCACTTGCAAAACAGAGAAATTCCTTCTTCACGCGCAGCAGCCGTGTCCCCAGGGAGCTGTGGACTGCCAGAAAGTCAAAGTCATGTGAGTCGGGCAGGCTGGGGTATCCCTCAGGCCAGCTCCTGCACTGGCTCACTTGGAATCACTGAGCTGCTTCTCTTTCTCCAGGTACCGCGTGGCCCACAAGCCGGTGTACCAGGTCAAGCAGAAGGTGCTGGCCTCTGTGGCCTGGAGGTGCTGCCCGGGCTTTGCTGGCTCTGACTGCCAGCACCATGGTAGGGCTCCCTGTGGTCACCTCCTGCTTCAACCTCGGACCCCAGAGGTCATGCAACTCTTCTGACCTCTTGGGTCAATATCTGATGCTTCCTCTCCGCAGATCCCAGTGCGACCCCTGAGCCTGAAGATCCAGGCGATGGCCTCCAGGAGCACTGGGATGGGCCCATTGGCTTGGAACCAGGTATGCTGCTCTCCTGGAAGCTGCACGAGGGGCAGGCAGGCAGAGGGAACCCATGTGTCCAGGCCCTTTCTCCTCTGATGAAGCAGTGCCATTTCAGGAAACCTTTGCTCCCAGAACCAGCAGGGCCCCTCTGTGGCTCTGCATCACCCTACACCACACCCAGGGCCAGGTTCGCAGGGCCCAGCGGCGATCCACCTGCTGCCAAAGCACATGCACCCTTCTCCTCGACCCCACTCTCTAGGAAGGATGGCATCACCTGGCACCTGCCTTGCCCCTGACCTGCACCAGCTCCCATGGCCTGGAAGAAACCTTCCAACCCCTGCCCCTCAACCAGGGACAAGCCATGCTGCCCCTGTTCCTGAGTCGGCATAGGAGAACCACCAAGAGACCCTACTTGTTGGGCCTCTCAAGGCTGGGCCAAGGTTGGGGGCGAATGTGCTTCCTCATGTGCTGAACGCCATCTATTGACAGGGCCGCCTAGAGTAATGTCAAGAGGCCATGACCATGTGGCTGAGGAGGGAAATGTGCCATGACTGACTAGTCATGTCTGCTGTGGGTGTGGGCAGCCGGGGGAGGGATCACTTACCAGGTATTTGCCTTTCTGGGGCTAAAGGCTTCTAAGCTGCTGCTCAGAGGACATCAGCAGACACCCCTCTGCTCTCAACCTTGAAATCTCTGTACCTTATGATCTGCCCAGGCCTGGAGAGTTAGCCCTCAATACTTATTTCTCATGTGTCCTCAGGCCACCCGGCTGCTGAGACCAACAACATCATGGTGCGGCAGGAACGCCTGCTGAGAGACGTCCAGAATGACATTCACCACATGGCAGAGAGCCTCCCAGGCCTGGGGAAGGCCCCAGCAAGCAACCTCACAGCTGCCTCGACTGATGCAAATCAGGCGGAGCCTGGTGAGTGGCAGGCTCCAGGGGCTGGGGAGAACCTGGTTATACCCAAGGGGGTGAGTAGGAGGGGAAGCAGGAAGGCCCCCACCTCAGAGGACCTCCCTCTGGCCCCCACCTGGGGAGGGTGTCTGCTCCAACAGCTTTGTGTCAAAGCATGCATCTGTTGCAGAGTTTCCTGTCAGATCCTTGGAGCATTTCAGCCCCATTTGGAGTGGCTTTAACCAAAGCCTGCACAGCCTCTTTGAGGCCATCAGAAACCTATCTCTTGATGTGGAGGCCAACCGACAGGCCATCAGGATGGTCCAGGACAGCAGCGTGCCCAGGGCTGACTTCCAGGAGCTCAGTGCCAAATTTGAGACCAAGGTCCAGGAGAACACCCAGAGAGTGGGCCAGCTGCAGCAGGACGTGCGGGACCGCCTGCACACCCAGCACCTTTCCCTGAACCGCTCCCTCTCTGAGGTCCAGGCCAATGTGGACACCAAGCTGAAGAGGCTCCTTAAGGCCCAGGAACAGCTGGGGTCCAACGGCAGCCTGGTGGCGGCAGGGGCAGGCGCAGGCGCAGGCGCAGGGGCAAGGCCCGAGCCAGAGAGCCTGCAGGCCAGGCTGAGCCAGCTGCAGAGGAACCTCTCAGCGCTGCACCTGGCCAACAGCCACAGGGACGAGGCCCTGCAGAGCACCCTGGCGGACATGAAGGCCACCCTGGCCCAGCACGTGGATGAGATCAAGGAGCTGTACGCCGAGTCCGACGAGAACTTTGAGCAGATCAGCAAGGTGGAGCAGCGCATGGAGAAGCTGCAGGGGCACCAGCAGGAGCTCCGCGAGCTGCGGGTCCTCCTGATGGAGAGGTCGCTGGTCATGGAGGAGAGCAAGGTGGAGACCGACCGGCAGCTCCTGGAGCTCAACCTCACCCTCCAGCACCTGCAGGGCGGCCACGCTGACCTCATCAAGTACGTGGAGGACTGCAACTGCCAGCAGCTGTCCCCGGGCCTGGACGCGCTGCCGGACGGCCAGGGGAACGCCACGCGCGCCGGCCCCG